GGCACCGTGAATATCATAGTCGTAAAGAGGATGTCAAACAACCTCCGTACAGTAGTTTTCATCGATTTTGGTGCCGTAGGGTGTTTTGACGCCGGCGCTTATGGCGCGGGCGCCAGGCGATGTTGGCCCGAGCGGATGTGATATTCATGTTCAGGAGGTCGAGGTACCCCTAAAAGCAAGTTTTCAGCCAAAATACCCTTGTAAAAAAAGGTCGGTAAGAAACCGGCTTCATTTCGGCAGCCTGGAGAATAGTTCAATAGTGCCCTTTTTTCTCTTTATGAATGCACTTGTTTGATCGAGTTCCAATGGCACTCATCAAAAATAGCCCGCGCTTGGCTCAATATTTCCCATGACATTGCAGTGGAGTCTGTATACATTACTGAGGCATTTTGTTGAAGCATTTCCCAGATGAAAATGTCGCGAGACTTCCCCGTAAAGTGATTAGGTTGGTAAACCAAAATGGTTGTGCATGTTTTCCCCTTCGCAGGTCGCGCATTCATTCCGTGATTATTATCCACTTGGGCAGCGTTCATACTTTGCGACAGCAGCGGCAATCGCGGCGATCGCCGCGATCGTCGGTACGTGGCAGAACGCGCCCCGACGCTATTATGGACCGCTCGCTTGATAAATAAGGGAATCCAACTCAAGAGACCTTTTTTTCTCTTAATAATGGCTACGAGGCGGAGATGGTGTAGAGGCGGAGATGGTGTAGTGACAAGTGGGGCGCTCACCATTCGCGCGGTCCCGGGTTCGAATCCCGGGTCGACTCCCGCCCGGGCCAACCAAGCCTTCTTTCCTCCGGGGACGGTAAATTGGTACCAGATTCGTCTGGGAGGATAAAACACTGACTTGTACATCGGCTGGCCACCGCAGGTCATTGTATAGGCCACATCGCATTCAATAACCCACTACGATTCTGAATGGAAGTGCGTGCCGCATCCCACAAAGGGATTGATCAACGGCGAAGACTTTATCCTTCATCCTTATCCTAATAATGGCTACTAACTGATAACTTACGACTTTCTATATATAAGCGGATCTGGAATATGAGGTAAGGAGGTTTCACTTCTTAGGTCTGGATAAGGCCAGCTCCATTCCATGGGAGAGCTTCTTTTTGTTCCTTTAGTTTATATTGTTTCAATTTATACATGCGCCTTGAAAGTTCCTATCGTCTGAACTGTTCCAACTTCCGAAACATTTATAGCTTACAAGTCGAGTTCAAACAACGAAGAAAAAAAAAGAAAAGAAAGCAGTTTTACGCAACATCAACAGGTGATAACTTTATAACCTCATGTGTAAGCTCTACGAATGAAAAAAGAAACAATAAAAACCTACTTTACATGAAACTCTCATGCTTTCTGCTAATTCCTATCCTGAATCAAGAAAGAAAATAGAAAACAAAAGCCATTAAGATGGGTTCACCTTTCTTAGTGTCAAACCAAGCTTCAGTACCCAAGAAAGTTGCAGTTAAAGGAAAAGAAAGCGGAGGGAGAGGGGTCGTAACCGGACCCTCTTCAAGGGGGGGGGTCGTGCTCACACCTCCATTTCGCACATCCCCATGCTGTACCCCGTACCCGGATATAGCCCAGTTGATTCCTGTTGCTGCTTCGAACGGAGAAATTGAAAGGGGATAGTCTGCTGCTGCTGCCTCGTTTCCTCGTTTTATGTTTGATGGACCTGATTCAGGAATAAACTGAAATGTTACATCAAAGTGCCTCTTTCAGCGCGCGTAAATATGCTTGCATAAGCAGTAAACACCCCTGAACAGCAGTCAGCGTAAAATAAGCCTGCATCTGCCGGCTTTAATATCTTCTTGCCCTGTGAGGTGATATGAGATCTTTCCGATACCCCCCCCCCCGATTGTAGCCCGTGACATCTAAGGCGTTACATAATGCACAAACTAGCAGAATATTTCCTAGCTAGGCGACTTGGCGCACAACCTTGCTACTTTGTGTGGGTTGGGTACTAATGCAGATGATTTCAATGGAAACGCTTTTATTGTCGATTTCGTTGCTGTTCAGATGCCTCGAACCGCACCTTAAACTTCAAATGCCAATAGCTTCGTGAATTCAGCGAGGGGGACGGGAGGCAGGAATAGGGTACCGAGGAACATGTCGAAGGGTTGTTCGCATAGCTTCGTGTCACTATCTGTTGTGATATGTTGTGATATATTAGCCCCACTTATGATGGAGCGAGGGCCAGATCAGGTTTTGTTCAGATTTCGTCCCTACTCAGTTTTTACATTGAACACGTTACCAGTCGAAGTCCTGTTCCTCACGACAAGAGGTGCATCGTAACATGTTCCATTACTGTGGACATACTTCAGGGGAAAGTTCAAGCTGAGGTCAAAATTAAGAAACTTCCCAATTACCAACGGTTGTCGTCGATATTCATCGCACAAGACTGAACAAATTAACGGAAGCTGTGATTAGGAAAACCAGTATTGAGACGGCTGTCGGGGAGTTTTGTAACACACTGCAGTTCACAAGTGTTTGACCACCCTAGCATTGATTTTTGGTCCCCAGACGTAAAAAGCAAAAAACAGGACGGTAATTCCAGGCCATCACTTCAGTTGTAGAGCAGAAGACAAGCATTTTGCAGAACCTTTTGGCGACTCAGTACGAACACGAACGGCCTAGTGACATTTTGTGACAGGCCAGTTGTAGATTCAGAAATTTCTAGTTGTTATAGTGAGAAGACGATTACATTCCCTTGATTTTTTGGGCCCTTTACCTTATGCTGGGAAAAACAATTCAAACTATATGGTACTACGGAAAAATGAAAAGATCGAAAGCGTACTGTGCCGAAAATACAAATCCAGCGTCGAAAAGGACTTAAGTTCGCTATTTACTAGCCCTTAGTTTCATTTTCAATTAACTTGAAATCATTTTCAATTAACTTTAAACAAAAGCTAAAGTCTCCTGACACACGACCATGAAGAAAGGCGATGGAGAATTCCAGTATTTCGCTGTAGATCGACATGAAAACAGTTCTTAATTTGGAAAACATCTGTACATCAGTATTCTAGCCGACCGACTTCTTGAACTTCCACCCTTGTTTGAGACTTTGTGATGAAGGGGCTCTATAAATGACGCACATTCCAGAATCGGACTGACGTAGTCTGTACATTGTTCAAGATTCCGTTCATCATTTTTCACTTCTTAATCAAGAGATTTTCTGTAACTACTGTTTTGGTGGTAAGAAGAAGAGTCGCGAATTCACTTCCTTATACTCATACGACTCGTCCTTACTCATGTGGGAGCACCCGCATGAAACCATTCATTTCGTCAGGAGATTTTTGCTTTTGTCCAAGAATATGGCAGACGAGGCTTCTAACATCTCTGCTCGCCTGCGAAATCCTGTAAGGAGATCTGCGATCAGTTTTTTTTTTGAACTGTAGACCCATCATGGCTGAGCGAGTGCTTGCCCTTGTCCCCCCTCGTAACACATGTGACAAAGGTTTTTGCAATGAAATACCATCGTATTCATGTTCAGCGGGTTAAATTACCCCTGGGGACAAGTTTTCAGCCAAAACTGACGTTTCGACCTAACTTGTAAAATGTGGGCCATTCTATGGGCAGTTAGCAGCAGGCTGAGGTCCACCCTCCCGGATGACTAGTCTTGGGATGGAATTTCCTACCGGCAATCAGGAAAATGATGCAGACGGCACGAATAAGTAACCTGGTGTATTGTTCTTCGCTAAAATACAGGACTGAAGAGTTATTTCAGCTCGCAGACCAGTCATCATCAGTATGCTAGTCGCAGTATCGTTGAGTCAGCCATGGCTAACCTTACCCCAATTTTTTCGAAGCTGAGTCAGAATCCCACATTTCGCTGAGATGTCGTCTCTACGGGTTATTTGACCCCTGGTCGCGAATATGATACCTGTTTTGTGCGAAAATCGCTACGAGTCGCGTTACAGCTGCCAACGCTTTGGTACACCAGCGCGCCCGGAAAAAGGAAAACAGTAAAGAACTCTCCATAACTCCGCTCAGCGAATCGTTCCGTATATGTCGAGAATATGTTTGAGTTCACCATCTCAAGACGAGTACAATGCTGTGCACCTAATTGCATATGGCCAGGCTGACCTGTTGACCTTTCCTGGTCAGCCAAATGATCAGTAACTCTTCGAGAGGTCTGAAATCCGCACACACATTTGCTGCTCGCTTCTGCTTAGCCGTTCTCTCTTCATGTCCTGTTTCATGTTCATGTAACGCTCGAGGTATGCGTAAGTTGACACTTTCTATGGTTGTCATCAATTTCAATTTGTCCTTCCTTGGCCCAAGCGTTCCTCATAAATAGTGTCTTGGCATGGCTAATCTGTACCCGCTTTCTTGCCTGCTTCGTTCGTTCCTGTAATATCGCCTCTACTTCTCTGGTACTGCTTGAAAAAAAGGATGATTTCGTCGGCGAAACGGAGGGCTGGGAGGTATTGACCACATTGAAGAAAATGCCTTTCTCGTCCCAGTCGAGTGACTTCATGACCCTTTGCAGTATTGCGGTGAATAGCTTCGGCGAGATAGGCGCATTTACCTACACATCAAATCCGATGTCGTTTATAATGTGAATGCCAGTTCCCTAACTTCATCTGAGAATCGATCTTGAAGTCCTTGAATTTATACTCCGATACTGACATACGCAGACAACATGGAAAACGTATATTTATGATTACACTGAGTTTACTGATATTTTGTTCACACCCGCCAACTCCATCGTGTAAGATGAGCAGGGTGAGAGCCTGATTTGCCAGTAATAAGTCTTATCATAAATATACGTTTTCCATGTTGTCTGCGTATGTTTAAAGCTTCTATGTGGTTTCATTTTTGGTGGCGAATCATGCCCGTACACTGTGAGCAAACTGTAGGCAATTGCTACGAAACTGAATGCCTTGACAAAATTTTACACTGATAATCTTTGTAGTGTAGTTTTTCATAGGGCACGCTTGGATCCGAGATAATGTCTATGTTATACACTCTCTGTGGGCTCTTTATCGTGCATACATGAAATGTGCGGAATTTGACGAAGACCTCACAAAAGCGAATGAGTTAGGTCTCACTTGGTACGTATCTCCACACTAATATTTTTTGGATTTTGAGTAGATTTGTGTTTTACTAACAAGATAACACGTATTCAGCATCAAAATGATGCAGTCTCTCTTGGAGTGCATGATGCGTCAAGCGGATAAGGTGGAAATGTTCAAAAAGTATCAGCGACCTGTAGATTCGCTTCATTCGAAATTTTCGGTTTCCACAAAGAGTACGGTGCGTTTAGAGATTTTCATTTATTTATTTGAATGTACGTCAGTCATCAGTATTCGCAAAAAATAGAAGAAACGAGAAGGGCAAGACACAAGAAATCTGTCCGGTCCGAAGAGGATAGCCGATAAAAGTCTTTATTCTTACTAAAGGAGCCTTATATATGAAGTGTAATCTTATCAACTGTTATCTTATCGTATCAGTGCTGGAGCTTCTGCTCGATGAGATTGCCTTTCTTTGTCTCGACCTTGAACATGTTCTTGCAGATTTGTGTTCATGCTTCCTTTTCAATCCGATAACCTTTATATCGACATTAGTTTTATAAATAAAACAAAACAATAATAACGTCATTATAAACCAAACTCAAATGCTAAATAATGCTCGCCGAATCTTTCTAGTCACCTCTGTGACACTTCCCCCGATCTGAAGACTTTGATGATGTTGTAGAGGGTCCGTAAAAATCCTCGAATAATTCACGTTCACGATGCAGTTCTTCAACCTCTTTATAGTAGTCGTGGATCTCTTCTGGAAGCGTGCATAATGCTTTATTGTGTTTCTTCGATCCACAATAGTAACACTTTTTTGCTCTCATTCCAGCAATTGATTGTATCATGGCGGCTATCCAGGCATGACCAACATCGTGCTCTCATTTTCCTCATTTCCGTACTCGAAAATTTTGGACAGCTATCCGAGTAGTGTTGGCCTTTTGCAAGGCAAAACGAGCATATTAAATATCGTTCTTCGAATCGCATATTATCAAACTTTCGTAATCGACGTTCTGGAACATGTCTTTTATCTCTCAGAAATTCGTTGATGTCCTCTATACGGTCTTCCAATTTGCGTCGCTCTTGCTCTCCTGGATATTGATTTGGGTTAACTTTTTCCTTTTCGAGTGATTCCGGTGGTTCAGCTGCGTGTCTGTTTTCAAATCGCTCTGGTCAGAAATAGATTCGTAGTCGTAATCCAATCTAGCATGTCCTCTTCGGGGACATGGATACTGTTTTCGCCTTGATTCTTGTTCTCCTCGTTTTCATCCTTCGATGAGCCACTTTCACTGATGATGCTGCCCACTGCTTCAATCGCAGCTTTTATCAGAAGGAAGTTCTTCTTTCTCTCCATTTTTTAGAAGCAGCTCATGTGCCTTTGTCGTCAAGGAGGATATGGACTCGATTTTTTCCGATAGAACCTTGATATTCTCATCTTGCTCCCTTAGTTGCTGGTAGACATGCTCCACACTTTTGCTTGTAGCTCCTTCTGAAGCCACCAATCTTGTTTTCCATTTCGTCGGATATACTGTGATCCTGTATAATGGCTTTTTCTCCATTTATGACAGATATCATGCTTAAAGTCAGTGCTATTTGCAGGCATATCAATAATGGCCACACTTTGATGCTTTGGGTAAAAGTTGTGATGTGAGGTGATTCACATCGGTTTGAATTGGTTGGCTTTCATGGCTTTCTTTTTGGTTGCTGTCTGTTGATCTTTTCGAGCGTAGGTTAATAGTTGCAAATTAGGGTTTGCGGTGCTTTTGATGCTCTTTTGTTGATTTTTCTTCCGAGTTTCCTCACTGCCTTTCTGGATCTCCGGGGGAAATAATTTTGGTTACAGGGGCGTCGGAGAGTCTTTCTGTTGCAGTACACTTCCCACCTCCGTATACGGCTCCATCGCTACTTGGAATCACCTTGTCGATGCGAGCTAGTTTCCATGTGTTTCTTTTTGGTGTGCTTCACACAGAAGAAGCGATTTCACCTTCTCGTAATATCCTTGCGTTTCCTCTTTTACACTTGATTTTTCTTCGGTGCTGTTCGCGAAGAGCTGTTAGGTATTGGTTTTTCCATAGCTCCAAAAAAGCGTTCTGTAAATCATGTGATGATTTCAATGCTTCTGTGCTTGCATTCTCGTCTCTAGGCGTAATGCTTCGGAAGCTGGAAGATAACTTGGATCTGCTTGATCCTCGTCGGTGAATCCCATCGGAAGTGTGACATTCATCTCTTGTTGTATAAAGCTGATGGGGCGCAAAGGCACTATGTCGTCGCTGATTTCACTTTCTTGATAGGTGAGGGGTCTGCTATTTAAGCATCCCTCGATTTCGATCAGGAATGTGCATAGCTGCTCCATTGTTAGAATGCGTCTTCCTGTTGCTTTGGTTAAGGATTGTTTCACCGCTTTGATGAGGCGTTCATAAAAACCTCCTTTCCATGGTGAGTAGGGTGTTATATGCTTCCATTCAATCAACTGACTGCTCATGATGCCGGATAACTCGCTATCGTTTGTAGTGGTAGCTGCAGATTTGCTGATTGAGTCGTTTATGATTTGGCTTCCCAGCAAGAATGTTGGTGCATTATCACAGGTAACCGTACGTGGTTTTCCTCGACGAGCCACGAATCGACGGAATGCATTTAGAAAGTTTTCCGTAGTTCCATCTGACACGACTTCAAGATGTATAAGTCGGGTAACGCAGCAAGTGAATATGCACCCGTAAGCCTCTCTGAACTCTTGTGATTCGGATTGTAATGGACCAAAATAGTCCAGTTCTATGTTCTGGAAAGGCCGGGACTTTCTTACTCGATATTCAGGAAGATTCGTCATTTCTGGATACTTATACGGTAGATTATTCATTTTTTGGCAAGAGATGCAGCTTCGAATACATTTCTTCACTTGTTCGCGGAGCCGTGGTATCCAATATTGTTGACGTACCTCTGCCATTGTGTGTCCAACACTGTTGTGATACTTTCCATGTGCTTCGAGCACAATAAGTCGACTGAACTCGGTGTGTGGTGCGATTAAAATTGGATTTTTTGCCATGCTGCTCAAGTCGGATTTGTTCAATCGTCCATATGCTCGCAAGAGGTTTTTCCTGTCTTCTTTTATATTGAGTGTCTTGGAAAGTTCTTTTTTGTAGTGTGAAGATAGATGAACTGCTTGGTGATTTCTGACCAACACGTTATGAGCTTCTCGGATGTATACTGTGAGGTGATGTCCTTGATTAGGTTCTTTGATACAAGACAATTCTTTTCGTAGTTTGTCGCGAAGTGGGCTCCTTAGAGCGAAAATGATGCCTTTGAGGAATCGAATGGCGTATGCCAGGATCCTCAGTGTCTTTTGTCTTACTGGTGTATCTAGC